TAGCTTTTCCGGACTTTCCTCGGTAGTCGCATGTGTCCCGTTTCGGCATTTCAGTAGGAAGTTGTCCAAAAACACCTCCAAGTCAGTAATTGATTTCGGATTCGAGGATGTCAGTACACTCTTGACATTTTCCACAAGATCCTCAGCCTGACAATTAGAAAAGTGATGTTTTGGGGGTGTACGTAAATGTCGACATCCAATGCTATCGGGCCAAACTTTCATCTCCATGGCACTGAACTGATATCCATTTTCTGTGACGAGCACTTGTGGTGCACCTTCCCGACTGGATCACTTCCGGAGATCCTGGATCAAGAAGGATGTTGTTGGCATACTTGTCAGAAATACTTCGGGCCACTTTGAGTATGAATCACTTAGAACCAGGCCATAGTATATATTCAGAAATGGGCCGAAGAAGTCCGCATATACTTGTTTCCATGATCATGGAGTCCAGTTTTTCGGTTTTGCCTTTACTTTGTGCAGACACGCTTAACAATTCTTCGCAGTTGTGCAAATGTCTACATTCAAATCAGGCCACCAACACATTTGTTGAGCCAGAGATTTCATAATCTCCACTCCCAAATGGCATCCATATTGGTCCTCTGATACTGTTTTTTGGAGCGGCGGAGGTATGATCAGTCGATAACCGCGACCGGGAACACCGTCTGGTTGCACAGCCAACTCCACCCGATGAATGTAGAACTGAGGATGTCTCTTCTTTATATCCGGAGGCCATCCTTTCGATTGGGCCGAAGTAATCACAGAGTAGTATTGTTTTGTTTATTTCATCGATGCTTCCCTAGAAGCTGGTGACGTTGGGCGACAAAATTGCATTTCTCTCCTGCGGGAAAGCGCAAGTACCTAGATAGGAAGTCTACCCGTGGAATTATCTTGTCTGGTCAGTAAGCTGTCAGTGCAATACTCCATCGTTGAATCATGACGGCAGTTGCTTTAGCGATAGACTTGTTAGGGTTGAATAAGAATTGTGGCGTCTGATGATCCGTCACAATAGTAAAGTGCAGTCCAAAGAAATACTTATGCAGTCTCCGGACAGCTTTAAACACCGCCAAGGTTTCTTTCTGGGTCTGCAAGTACCCTTTCTCCGTGTGGTTGAGCAATCGGGAAATACAAATCACAGGAAACCATTTTATTAATTTATACTTCAGGAATTTTCTCCGGTATACTTGTATGACCAGGGCTGAGAATATAATGCCACATTCACATTAACGAGGAGTAGACTTGATTTACATGCACGAAAAGATTATGGAGATCGTGCGGCATAAGACGAGGGAAGGACGATGCCTGGGTGTCGAAAACGGCACAGGTCACATGAGTTGTATTTGAGTGTTGAATATGGGCATAAAACCCAAGTATTCCTATCCAGAAAAATAGCAAATAATCACCTAGAATCATCACAAAAAGATGGCTAACTTTCCAATCACTTGGAAACTGTATCAAGCTTGGTTATCTGAGTCGTAGGATTTCTTTACCATACGTGTGAGAAGAGAATTAGGTTGTGGATTACTGCCATTTCGTTCAGGCTCATTTAGTTCATTTTGTCACCGATCGGCTGAATAAAATGCTCAGAAAGGCAGTCGATGATAGAAAATGCCAAAATATTTAATGGACACTTCATTATTTCTCTTTAGGAAAGCGGAAAGAATTAAATGCATGTGAAACACCCCGCTCCTGTGACAGATTGGCAGGGGTAACATTAAACTTTATGATTGTTTGTGAAAGAATTTCCACGACGATCTAAAAACAACACCGAACCGTTTCTCCTCACTTTTATTGTGACTTACTTGCAGAGCGTACAATTTTTGTGTCCCTGCCCGGACTCCAACTATGACCTTTCCGATTGGGAGTCGAATTTCTTATCCCGGAGCTGCAGAAGCCTTTATTTATTGAGTTCTTACGAATTTAATTTAAACATATTTTCTTCACCTTTTCTTTTGGTGCTTTTTAATTTTTTCAGCTGTCTCCTTTGGAGGCTTTATAAAGACCATGAAACTTCATGAGTGCTCGATACAAAACATGTATCACTCAGTTTTTCGAGGGCACACCTTTAACCTTTCACAAACAAATGAGGATGGCAACGAAACAGCCTGTTGGTAAATCATTGGCATCAGTGCAATAGGAACTCGGTCGCCATTCGTTAAATGTCGATGAAACCCAGATATCTAAGCAGCGCTGTTAGTTGAACAGACTTTATTTAAAGCCTTTAGCTCAGACAGCAGATCAGACCCACACACTAAACAGTAGTTGCCTTCGTATGTTGGCGTCATATCACCCAGGTATTATACCTGGGGTTCCATAAACCAAGTCTATCCTCTCTGTCAAGTGAATTTCCCGGGGGATGGTCAATGATTCATGTTCCAGTTTCTTGGAGCCACATATGAAAGTTGGGAAATTGTGGAAAATAAAAAGGTAAAACATGTCTCAAAGGATAGGAAGTTGTACCTATTCTTGGGTGCTGCTCCCCTCGTATACCTTTTAAATGCTTTCTCTTTATGTCAAGAGTCGAATCTCATTTTACAAATGGACTACACTAATTGATTTTCAAGCATTTGCGGAAATCGTTTGTGAACAAAGCGTTTTGCTGCATTTTGACAGACATGCATAAATTAAACAGAAGAGATAGAGTTTGAAGACAGACCTTGACGACGAGAAGAATGAATACGTGTTCTTCCGATATGTACCTAGAATAACTGATTACTGTTCCGATGAAATTCAGTATTATTAACTGGTCGCATGAACCGAATGATGATGATTATCCAATTTACAGATACAAGCTGTATTTTTCCATTATTGCAAACATACTTCCACCTTCCGTATCATGGGGGCGAAAATAAACGTGCACTTTGCAGCAACAATTTCGCTCCGGTAAACATAGTTTTGAGTTCATAGCACTGTATTTGATACCAACGCAAACGCACATGACGTGCACCAGTTTTAGTCACCCTCCTAACCGCTCGTTTCCTGTATGAATGGTTTTAGGTCTGCTTTATTCCGTTTAAATGGATTCTTTTGGTCTGTTCTGTTCCTTTGGGATGTATGGTTTTTAATCCCAGTTGTTTGAGACCAATCTTCGGGTGTCTCAAACGGAAAGCAGATCGACGATGAATGGTTTCTTCCCAGACTCTGGAAACTAAGTGTACTCAATTGTGCTCATTTATGTGGCGAGAAGTCGATGAGTTCATGACAGCATCCATCTTGACGAAACGTGCAAATTAGACTGCAAATGTTTGGCCGTGAATCTCTGCGAAATTCTATCTAAATAGAGCGGGATATAAATCTTTTGTCCATACTGAGCGTATTTCGTTAGGCCGAATTCAAACATTGATTCTCAACACAGCAAACGATGTTTTGCTTATCAGATTCGTTTTAGGATAAGTCAGTGTCGCAGTTTTATTCTGAAAAAGGTTCATCACTGAAACCTACGTGTTTAGTCTAGCTACACTCGGCCCAGGTTTGTGGCCATCCGAATAACCTATATAACTTTATTTTGCAATGAAGTTGACCTAGTATTCAGTGATGAATACGTGCTTGGATTGTTCCAGCTATATGGTTTCTACTCAAACACACCAGGTTCCTTGTGCATTGTGCTTAAGGAAAACGGCACTGAGCATGCAGCTTCCAGCTCATCAGACCTAAACACCTTTTTGTCCGTATCTTTACCCACAACACGGATAATCGGTATGTTAAAAGAAAAAATTGTTTTGAAGTTAGTTGTGCACATGATGAGGCCTAAGAGCTCATCCATCTGAGTTAATTTCAACGTTACACTGTATTTACATAAAGAGATTCGAGGTATTTTTCATCATATAGGAAACAAAATACTCTTATTGGAAATCGAGTGTGTGTGTGTGACATTCTAAAATTCTATACGAGTCCAGGTGGGGATAAAATCCCTCTGATAAACAGAATGGGATTACTTCAGCTTTATACATGATTTTCACCCCAGTGGGGGCTATTCTGATATATATACCATAAATATTATAACTAGAACGCAGTCACAAAGGCAATAAGTTGGTTGTGTTCGACAACAATGATCCGGAGGTTTTATCATGTGCATGAATATANTGGTTTACCAGACGCATTGCGGTTGCATTTTATTCGCTTCCAGTCGAATCATATGATAAACATATATTGATTGGGTCGGAATGATATCTGAGCCGCCATTTAGCCTGAACCTTTAGGGACTGTATATTGATCACATCCTATTCATACCCTGAACAAACTGAAAGATGAAAAGGGTTAATCCTGCAGATTGGTTGCCTTGTTTGTGACCCAAAATCTATTCCGTTGATCCAAACTGAAATCAAACTCAAACGCCTTCCTTTGCCTAAATTTACTTATCTAATTCCTCACCCATTTCAACTGGGTGAGGGTGCAGGAGGAAGGACTTCCTTCAAAGAATACTTCTTTGTTGGATACAAACATCTCAGAGCAAATACATTTAAAATAGTTCCCCTAGCAGATCTCATCGTCGGGCATACATGTGTAGTGTTATTAGTTAAACAGATTGATTAGGAACTTAATTATCAGAGGTACCAGCAGTTGGATCAGGAATGAACGTTTTCTATAGGCTTGGGTTAAAACCCAAACCAGAGAGCTGGAATTATTTGAAAAGAGTTGTTTTGAAACTTTCCGATTGTCATACAGCTTTGTTCACCCCCGATCTATGAGGTCATTTGACCGTACGAATCCAAAGGAAAATTTCAGTGGATAAGTACAAAAATGATCATGAGGGGATCCAGCCAGGTCAAAACAGCTGTACAGTGCATCGTAACTTTTCAGTTTACGCTCCATTTACTCTATGCACGACGAACTCCTTTTTTCATTTTACTTCCTTTTATTGAATATACAAAGATACAATTTTCAGGAAGGGGGAAGCGGCCAATCAGAGGGCTGCCTTTGTTACAAAATCAACAAATTGGCTTTTGGAGGGAGTTACATTTGATTTATTGCTCGATCTAATAACACGTTTATCACAAGAGACAATGATTGCATCAACGGTATGTTTGCGGATGAGTCCATAACCATCCGGTTCAAACTTGCACAACAGTAATAATCCTCATATACCGTATCTTCAGAATCTCGCGATGATTAAGCTCCCCAGAAACTTGGAGTAAATCTTGACGGATAAATCCTTGAATCTTGCGAATCAATCAACATGTTCGTGTCTAATAAACCTAGTAAATATGGTAAGTGTAACGTTACGAAAAGTATATTGAGATTCGTACCTAAGGGATCATAGAAATACAATGTTCTCTGCAAAAGAACACTTCACTTACTTTTATTATCCCATCAACATTCTTCACAAATGCAATCCCGCGGAAAGGTAGAAATCGGATAACTGACTTTTTACTCCGGAAATGAACCAAGCCACAAGTTTAGCAGTTCTGTCAATACCTTGCTAACATCAGCGAGATTTGTGAACGTCCAAAATCCACTGAAATCATGTGATATCGCCACAAAACAAACGACTGAATACATCCCAGCAATGTGCTCACTATTTACGTTTTCAAGAATCCCAAACATGATGATTGATCCTAACATGAATTTCCCCAAACTTCTATGGCTCAACTGAAGACAGTATCACTTGTTCAGTAATTTTGATGTGAATGAACATCAAATATTTTAGGCATTTACTTTGCCGTCTTTCGAATTCAATGAGTTTTGTTATTCTGTCGTTGATCAAATAATTGGTAACCACCAGTATGCACTTCAGTTTAAGAAAACACTGTAGCGAACAAAGCTTGTTTTCGACAACTTCCTACTCAGGCTAATACATTTATATATAGATTTCACAATTATCAAATTAGTGTAATGGTCAAATGTGATGAATATGATTGGTTGATTGTGATCTTGTGATGTGTGGTTTGGAAAAGAGAGGGCAGTTTTGTTGTTGTTATTGTTGTGTGGTTCGGAAATATTCACAGTCGGTGGAAAGAGTGAGCTGTTCCATTTCCAGTCTGCGCCCCTGGGTCATGACAAAGGTCACGGTCGTTTCGGTTGACCGTGTCAGGTTGAGGCCAGAGTAGGCGAATTGACTGGACGAATCGTTTTTGAGAACAAAGGGACGGATTGAGTAGGCGAATAGCCACCGTCTCGGCTGTGGCAAGGTCTCTTTGACGATTGGCTTTTGATGGGTTTGCTTATACTTTGTAGATCATCTTGAAAGCGTCATCGTCCGCTTGATGCTCCGTGTCTGCAAGGTGTTCTACCACCGCACTTGTAATCGTTTTCCTTATGCCCGTACTCAGCCACGCAGGTTTGTGCTCTTTGATTCTTTGAGATAATTGCCTGATCGTTCTTCC